TTCTCAGCTAACGTAGGCTTGGAGACAATAAGGGGTGTGGATAAAATTGTAAAGGGCGAGGAAAATGCCCTTATTCCTGATAATATGAATACATTTAAATTGGGCTCCACTTGTATCAACTTACTTCGAGCGCACATTTAGTACATTCAAGGCTTTTCTTCGCGAAAATCGAATGAGAATGCTGCCAGAAAACTTCAAAATGCACCTTGTGGTTCTATGTTACTACAACTATACAGATTTATATTTTATGAATTAGAAACTCGAAAGGATAAAATAGTCATAGATTCAAAGTACAAATTTTTCATATAATGAAACTAGTTCATAGTTTTTCTCTTTTTACTTGTAATATAAACATTTCTAAAATAAATGTTTTTTTAATTGTTCTTCGTATTTTCTGTCTTTTTTAGGGCCTTATTTTGCTTTTTTAGCAAAACTTAGTGCCTTTTCCTGCCGTTTTCGCTATTTTGTTTTGCCTTTTTTGGCCTTTTTTGCAATACCTAGTGCCTTTTCCTGCCTTTTTCGCTATTTTAATTTGCCTTTTCCAGCCTATTTCGTTATCTTATTTTGCCTTTTTTATAGGTTTTTAGGTCCTAAAAATCCGTTCCCTGCGGATTACGAATCTGTAAGTATAAAGTCTCCATCAGCTCTAGATTTCGTGTTCAAAACGAAACGTGTTCAAAAATCGCGTTTTTTGTAATATTTTAGAAGGTCTAGCAAAAAGAAAAAGGGCATAGAACCTTCCACTTAGGCTTAAAATAAAGCTACAGCTTTCGGCTGCCATCCCTGCACCTTGACCTGATGGTCACTTATAGTCATATATGTAATACTCCTATATTGGCAGTAAGAGCTAGTACCGTCCGAAAACACTACAGTACAGATATATCAATAAACACGTACGAAAGAAAAGGAATACATACGTTTATAAATAAACATGTACACAACACATATACAAAAACGGCACTCAAGTACACAATACATTGACAAAAACGGTACTAGACTGTCTCGCTTTGATTTCGGAATGCTTACACATTGAGAAGTTAGCTTACTGCCAATAGAGAAGTATTACATATATGCTTATAGTCATTTATTGAACAATAACAAAATACTGGTGTATTGTGCTATGGGAAGAAAAGGAATTGTGCCAAAACAAGTTTTTGCCAATAAATATAAGTGACCTTACACTGAAAATAAAATCTGCGTAAATATAACGAAAACTTGCGCGAATCTTCCGAAATTTTTCGTCATTTTGAGCCACGAAAGTTTTCGTTGATTGTACAAAACTGTTTTCGTACATATTACGAAAATATGAGGCATCAAATTTTAAGTACATTTTACGAATCTATTCGTACTATTTACTAAAGAATTTAGTACTATTTACTAAAGAATTTGGTACTATTTACTAAAAAAAATTCGTACTATTTCTTAATTTTTTTACGAAATTTTTGTAAAATGCACAGAAATAATTCGTTTAACGAAATTACTTTCGTAAAATCTGCGCTTGTTTCGTAGAATGTGCGATTTTGCTTTCATTCTCCACACTGTAAAAAACATATTACGAATTATAACACAACACTTTAAATTTGTTTTTATCATTAATTTTAGGCGTTTTTGTTTAACAAAACGTTTTGGAAAAACGCTTAACATTATTGATTAAAATATAATGAAAGTGTTGTGCCATAATTTTAGTCATGTTTTTTATAGTGTTAATAATAAAAGCAATCATACGTTCTACGAAAGAAGAAGAATTTTCTGACTACACTGTATTTTAGAATTAATAGAAAGGGCTATTTTACCTATAATAAAATTTAAGTCTTTTATTTATATGCATAGGTTTTATACTACATATATTTTTTATTGCTTAGGCTTCATTCAATAAAGTATGTTGATGCAAAGTGTTAAACTATGAGACTCAACAAAACTAAATATAATAAGATAAAATATGAAAGATAATAAAAAATACTGGTTTTACTTTCTTAACCCTTCGATTTGTGAGAAGGTCCCTAGGGACCTTTTCGTATTTCATGTGCCTATATCTTTTTGTTCAATGCATTTTTGAAAAGAATTTATACATTTATTCCAAGAATAAATTAAGCTGAATCGTTTAAAATAAGTTTCGAAGGGATACGGGGTCACGTTCGAGTGTTATTGAGATTTCAACATATATAGTACGGGGATTAGGGACCTTGTACAATTTTAGAAGGAATAACAAGTTACTTGTCTTCATGTTTTGATTTTTTTTTCACTTGTTCTTCAAATTATTTCATTCCTAATATATATGCAGGACGTTAATTTAATCAAAAGACAACATAAATACCAAAGAAGTTGCACATGTACAGTCGAAACATCGAGCAACTCTTTGTAGGTCCCTAAGGACCTTCTCACGAATCTAACGTCATCGGCACTGTCACTCATCGGAGGGTTAAAAATTGTAATATTTTTATGTAGAGGCACTTGACAGATCCGCAGCTTCATCGATGTTTGTTCATTGTCCATGCTTCTGCGCCGTATACCAACACGGGCATGATGAGTGACTTATAGGGCGCGGTTTTCGTACGTCGAGAGAGGACTTTACTCCTGAATTGATAGGGTCCCATCACCTTTTGTTTAATTGCGGTGGGGTACCAAACTTCGCACAAAATCAGGTTTTGCTGTGCAATAAATGACTATAAATGACCATCAAGTCAAGTTGCAGGGATGGTATCTTCAGGAACTGTAGTCGAAAGTTCAAACCTTAATTTGAGCCTAAGTATAGGTGTTCAAACATCTTAGGACATGTATTCATACATACATACACCTGCCAGGGTAATAAAACTGAACATAAAAAAATAAGTACAATACTTTCTTAAACATTGTAATATTTTTATGTAGAGGCACTTGACAGATCCGCAGCTTCATCGATGTTTGTTTACTTGACGACTATAAATTAAATGTTAAATGATGTTAAAAACATTGTATGCTTAAAAGCATAGTATATCCACAGCATTAATATTTAATTTTGTATTGTTTTTTTTATCCAGCATCCATTTTTAAAACGTTTAAAATTATATTATACGTTTCACAGCAACCAACAATTAATTCCGCAATGACACGCGATACAAAAAATATGATGAAATATTAAACTGCCCATAATTGAGTATATTGTACGAAAATATTCGTATATTGTACGAATTTAGAAAACATGTTTCCGCATTAGTACTTTATACGAAAGTATTAACTAAATTGTACGAATACAGAATTGTAGAATTCGTAAATCTAAAACCATACGTAAATATTACGAATGCCTTCCTACAATATACAAAATTATTCGTACAGAGATTTGTGCAATGCTTTACGAATGTGTTTCGTAAAATAAACGTAAGATTTCGTAAATTGTACTGAAAAAATGCCTTACGAAAGTCCTTTCGTTATATTTACGTATGGTTCGTAAAATCTTGTTTCGTTATGAAAAGTGTGTTCGTATTATACATTGTACAAAAACTAACACTACGAAAGATTTTCGTAGCACTTTTATGAAATTTTATTTTCAGTGTAGGGTCAAGGGGCAGGGATGGTATTTTCAGGAACCGTAGTCGAAAGTTCAAGCCTAAATTTGAGCCTAAGTATAGAGCCCCAACTTCTGCTTCTTTTTTGGCGCTGTAACCGCCTAAACGATTTTGGCCGAGTTCAGCAAAGCACGCCAGTCGTTTCTCCTCTGTGCCAACTGACGCCAATTGGAAACGCCAAGTGAAGCCAAGTCCTTCTCCACCTGATCTTTCCATCGCAGTGGGGGCCTCCCTCTTCCTCTGCTACCACCAGCGGGTTCCGAGTTGAATACTTTCAGAGCTGGAGCGTCGGTGTCCATTCGAACGACATGACCAGGCCAGCGGAGCCGCTGTATTTTAATTCGCTGCACTATGTCCATATCGTTATAAAGCTCATACAGCTCATCGTTCCATCGTCTGCGGTACTCGCCGTCACCAACGCGTAAAGGCCCGTAAATCTTCCGCAAAATCTTGCGTCTTGTCTTTGTCCATGCTTCTGCGCCGTATACCAGCACGGGCATGATGAGTGATTTATAGAGCGCGGTTTTCGTACGTCGAGAGAGGACTTTACTCCTGAATTGATAGGGTTCCATCACCTTTTGTTTAATTGCGGTGGGGTACTCAAACTTCGCACAAAATCAGGTTTTGCTGTGCAATAAATGACTATAAATGACCATCAAGTCAAGTTGCAGGGATGGTATTTTCAGGAACTGTAGTCGAAAGTTCAAACCTTAATTTGAGCCTAAGTATAGGTGTTCAAACATCTTAGAATATGTATTCATACATACATACATCTGCCAGGGTAATAAAACTGAACATAAAAAAATAAGTACAATAATACTTATTGACACACAGAAAATTCAGTCCACTTTAGAAAAGAAGATAAGTAAAATACTAGGGCTGTGCGTTTATTTGATTATTCGAGTTGAATAAACAATTGCTCAATTATTCGATTAATAAAAATTATGATTACTCAAAACGAAAAAATTATTATTCAAAAAACTGTTCATTTTGTTCATTTGTCTACATAAAGTTTGTAAAAAAAATATAAAAAAAGCCAAGCATCAAAAATTATAAAATAAAAAACTATTTTGATGTGATAGCCGACCGGGAGTGGGCAAAGTGTCGAAGATGCAACAAATGGCTTAAGTAGAACTAGAAGTTCCTTGATTTAGCATATCACTCGTGTGCATAACATCGCTTTGAAGAAAGAAAGGTCAGAAATGTAATATACTTACATCAAATGTTTAAATGAATTATATTATGCATGTATATTAAATATTTTCAAGCAGAGAATGTAACAGCAGTGGGGAGCTTCCCGAAGTATATTGGAATATTACCGATGTAGATTCTACAAATTTTGAAGCAGGAACAAGTTGGTCCTGCGATAACACAAAGCTTGTGGGTACTAAATCACAAAAACCGCAAACGGTAAAGGTGATTAACAGGCTCTTTACAAAATGATCGCACTACCAGGCTACAATCCACCAGGGAGAAAGGCCATTACAGGTCACATTAAAAAGTTGTATATTGTCGCAGCCGCATCTCTTGCAAATATATTAAAAACCGCAGACATGTTCGCCTTAACCACAGACGCATGGACATCAACAGCAGTCGTATCGTATATAACAATAACTACCCACTTTATTGATGACAACTGGGAGTTACGTTCGTATGTTTTAGAAACATTTGATCATCCCCAAAGACACACTTCAGAAAATCTAAGAAAAGCTGTTGAGGACTGCGTCAGTCGGTGGAACATGGACGGAAAAGTCATAGCGACTGTACATGACAATGCTCGAAATGTAACGGCTTCAGTGAAGGATTCTCATCGCCTTGGAGAAAGTGTGCCATGTTTCGCTCATACTCTTCAACTCGCAGTAAACTCTGCTTTAGAATATGCCAAGTTTATTATACAAAGAGCAACTAAAATTGTAAGTCATTTCCGTCATTCCGCATTGGAGACTTCTGCTTTGCTGAAAAAACAAAAAGAATTCGAACTTCCAGGACATCAGCTAGAGCAGTGTTGCATTACACGGTGGAATTCTACATTTAAAATGTTAAAACGGCTAGCAGAAAAACGAAGAACTGTTTGTGCCGTTCTTTCAGATTCTACATCCTCAGGAAGTAGCAGTTTGCACTTAACAGAAGTAGAATGGGACACGATACCCGACCTTTTAGTAGTTTTAGAAGCATTCGGTGTCACAACAACACTAATGTCTTCAGCATCAAGAGTGACACTTTCAATGGTGCGGCCAATTATATACCGTCTTAAAGAAAATTTCTTAAAAGGAAAGCCTACAGATTCCGTCTTAATTAAAAATTTTAAAGAGACGGCGGTTCGAGAGCTTCAAGATCGGTTTTTAAATAAAACTTCTACGGCCAATTTCGAACCCACATGCGTGCTACTAGCTGAAATTCTTGATCCATTGTGTTAGAGAAGCTGTTGGCATGTATGTAAGTATATTGGAATGTGAAAATATCAGAGAAGAAGAACAATCAACACCAACGACCGAGGAGTCCGCACTAAATTTTCTGTTTTTTGGAACAAAAAACCCAAGACAACAATCAGGATATAACCGATTCGAAGAATTGCAGAATTACATGCATGAAGCAGAATCACCTAGCCTATAAATGTATATTTAGGCACAAGGACAGTTTAGTCCATAAATGTATGTAAGCCGTCACAGCAAGAGACTTGACGCAGTACTAAAGAAGCCCTATAAGCTACATAGGCAAAACAAAAAAGCCCTATAAATTATATAGGCAAACTAAAAAAGCCCTGTAATTGTACAGGCACAATATATAAAGCCCAATAAATTGTATTAGCAATACATTTTGGTCAATCGAAAGCGACAATAAAAAGGGCCGAACATTTGGTCCATACGAGCCTTAAAACAAAAAACAAAAAAATTAGCTCAAGCGGCAAGGTAAGACGGGAACAGATTTCCCGCACCTAAAATAATAATAAAAAGCCCTATAAATTTATAGGCACAAGGACAGTTTAGTCCATAAATGTATGTAAGCCGTCACAGCAAGAGACTTGACGCATTACTAAACAAAGCTCTATGATTTAATAGGCTCAAAAAAGCCCTGTAATTGTACAGGCACAATAAAAAAAAGCCCCATAGATTATATAGTCAAAACAAAGCCCTGTATTTGTACAGGCACAATAAATAAAGCCCTATCAATTGTATAGGCAAAAGACATTTGGTCCACACTTGTATATAAGCCGTCAAAGCAAGTGTCTTGACGCAATACTAAAAAAGCCCTATGATTTTATAGGCAGAACAAAAAAAACGCTGTAATTGTACAGGCACAACAAACACAAAAAGCCCTATAAGTTATATAGGCAAAACAAAAAAAGCTGTGTAATTGTACAGACAAAACAAAAAAAAAAGAAAGCCCTGTGATTGTACAGGCAAAATAAAAAAAGCCCAGTAATTATATAGGCAAAATAAAAAAAGCCCTATAAATTTTATAGGCACAAACAAAGTCCTGTATTTGTACAGGCATAACACAAAAGCCCTGAATTTTTATAGGCACAATAAAAAACCCTATAGATTGTATAGGTACAATTAAATTAAAGAAGCCCTATCAATTGTATAGGCATATCCGATTTGTAAGTCGTTGCAGCATGAAACTTTCCGCATAATCGATTTATTGTAATCTAAAAGAGCAAACATCGGCTGTGAGTCGAGGCACAGCAAGGCCAACAAGGCAACCAAACCAATTACCTCCAACGGCTCTTTTGGAGAAGAAAAAACCATATACAATTGATTAAACTATTTAATGAAAAAAAAGGCAGAATCTGGAGAAGCTGGAAAAGCCAATAAGTTGAAAGAAAGATTTTGTCACAAATAGCTCGATTTTGGAAACCAACAAAATGGGCCAGAGAAGAAATTGCCGAGGAAGAACCGGGAGTGTTTCTGGAAATCCTTGGAAAGGTTTATGATTCTCTCAATGAACTCTACAACACATATAACAAGCTCAAGTTTGACATAATTGAAGCTTTTTTTTCGAATACTATCCTAAGCGTTTTGCTTGCGAGAGCGAAATGCTAATAATTAAGAAATATGCCCAAGAAAATAGTAACAAAAACGCAGAGGGGACAGTTTGCACTTCTAATAATAAAATAGACGCAGATGCCAAGGAAGAATGGGTCTTGCCAGAAGTTAGTGCATCGTGCGCCAAAAGTGTCAAAGTAGCTGACACGGTGAAAATGTATAAAGATGCCATGCAAGAATTCTTTTTCCCCCGGCAAGTCCACATTTTGGCAAAATGTTGGACAAAGTAGTGATGGTCGCTGCCGAAAAAACGTCACAACAAGAAAACACATGTTTGAAGCAGCAGTACGCAGAAAGCAGTTATCACATCAAACTAATGCAGGAAGTAGATATTTGCCTGCAGAGCTTGTATGAAGATGCGACAGAAGATAATGCAGGAGAAGATTATGGCGATGAAAGCGAAATCGATGATGATGAAGAAGGCGAGGAAGTCCACGAGGTCGATGCAAATTCTAATGAAATCACTGACCCTGTGCTTAACGGTGGATGTAATATACGAGCACACAACACTCAATCTACTGGAACAAATGTACTGAATAAATCTCCAGACAAGGAAATTCAAAATCTAGGCAACGTTGAGCAGCATTCAGAAAAATGTACTTCCAAAACAGCAGCACATTTAAATAAATCAGAGACCAGCAAACCTGATACAAAGTCTAGTATCAAACATTCTGGTACCAGTTCAACGCGTAGTCATCGCAGAGGTACCGGTAATGATGAGATACAAAATATCGATCACAAAACGGGTAATAACACCATTGATACAGTTAAATGGCAAACTCCTAGGCCCCCGGCAAGCCCCCCTTTTGGCAAAATGTGGGATAAACATCATAGACAGCCAAAAATGCAAGGCGAGTTTCCTGAAATTTGGCGTAAGAGGAAGAAATTAACACTTCGAAGGTACAGGAACTCCTGGGGTAAATTGGATTGGATTTCCTGACCACAACAAATTTAAAATAAATATTTTGAAGGTAAAAAATAAATATTAATTTGAAAAAACATTAACACTTTTTAGCCCTTGGCAGCATGTTCAAATGTCTTTGAACATGGATACATATCTGCCTGAGTAATAACATTAAATATAGCAAGAACTTTTAAAAAATATGTATACAGTACATAAATAATAACTTTTTTGCCCTCGGCAATATGTTTAAACATCTTTGAACATGTATGCATACATACATACATCTGCCAGGGTAATAAAACTGAACATAAAAAATACGTGCAATAATACTTATTGACACACAGAAAATGCAGTCCACTTTAGAATAGAAGATAAGTAAAATACATTAACATGAGAAATTAACAAAAACCCATAAATTGTAACACATTTCACTGTCAATATTTTGTACACCACCGACAGAAGATATCAATGCGTTGATATCTTTTAATCTAATGTTCGCGCGTACAAATGCATACACCCATACATGCATTGATATTACTTGCATGCATACATATAGCCGACGCAAATGCAAGCATTAAAATTAAAATTATGATAACATGTACATACACACACACACGTACATATGTATTTACAATTAGTTAAGGAAAATAGAGTTAGAATTTGTATATAAAAGGAAAATATTTAATAAACAGATCAGAATCGTAAAGACTCTCAAATAAAACTCTCTTTCTTCTTTATTTTATTTTGTATGCTTTACTTCCCCCCACAAGCGGTAAGGGGTAAAGCATTTAACACTCTCTATTCTTCTTTATTCAAGTTTTACTACCCCTCCACCAGCGGTAAGGGGTAAAACTTTTAATATTGAAAGTACTAACCCCTTATTTTATAAGACTCTACTTCCGCCCACCAGTGGTAAGGGGTAGAGAATTTTAGAATAAGAGTATTTGTAGTTCAAGCATTGCTGAGAATTACTTGTTACCCCCCACCAGTGATCGGACTTGAAACAAAATTTGTGTGGTAGAACATGGAAAAAAATGTGGTAGATTTCAATTAAATGTGGTAAATCTCAGGTTTTAGATCGAACTTAGTACAAAAATTAAAAATATTCTGGAAGGTTTCACCTAAATTGCAATCATTTTAATTAGAATCTAAAAAAATTAATTTTAGTATAATAAAGTGTAAGATTGAAGTTGCTAAAAATTCCGTTGAGTTTTGGCAATTCCTTCCATATCAAGATATTTTTCGAACATATTTTGAAAGATTTCTGCAACCTTGCCGAGTGCAGCCAACTTTTCTTTTTTTCACATCACGATGAAGCGAACAAGGGTGGCACGTTCCAGAAACCGCTACTTGGGATTTGCCGATTTTGACAATTCTTAAGTAAAAGTAAACAACGCTTTAGAAACTTTAGATTCACTGAAATCTTCTAGTACTTACACAAAAATCGCCGTTTTTTAACATTTTCGCTATTAATTCTTTTTTATAAATCATAAGTTTTGCAATTTAACACAATGAAACCATGTTTCCTGTCGAAAAATTGAATAATGAGAAAATTTACTATTTTACGGTTTATTTTATACTCCCACTCTGCCTGTTGTTAGTATTTACTGTTGGACAGTTTTTGCTCTTAAAATTAAGAAAATTAAATCGAGCAAAAATAAAACTACTCAAAAACGCGAATAAGTGGTAGATTTCAGACCTTGTGTGGTAGATGCTCAAAAAAGTGGCAGATCTACCTCAATGTGGTAGAAGTCCGATCACTGCAATTTTAAGTCGCTAAGGCTTACCATTAATTTTTCGCAATTTGTTTTTGAAGTGAAACTTCTTAGGTGGCGGTATCGCAAAAATGGAGAGTGAAATTTTTAAAACTGAAAACGTTACATGAGTGAGAAGGAAGATATAGGTAGTATAGGGAAGCGGAAAAAAGAAATTAAGCGACGCATGACGGGTACGAGTACCTACATATGTATATATGCACGTTTGAATGCACGCATGTATGTATACACATACATATATATGTATGTATGAACGAACTCATTGCGCATTTCAGCTCTGCCGCTACCAAGCAATATATGATGCAAGCGTGCTTCGCGTAACTACATCCATTCGTACATATGTACATATGTTTGTATGGATATATTTATGATGAAGCAAACGGGCTTCGTTGATGTACTGATGGGCATATGAACATGTGTACTTATGGACAGCAATCATGGTGAAATGAACTGAAGGTGGCGCATTCCCGAAACCGCTACTTTGGTTTTGCCGACTTTGACATTTATGGCAATACGTAAACAAACTTTTTGTTTAGAAACAAGTGCAAACGTATTACAAACGTATTGTATACTTTCAAGTGAAAAATCGAGGTAATTCGTGCGTTCTGAAGTAAATAACGTTTTATTTGTAACAAAAACTTTATAAAAATGTCGTGTCGTGTGTTGAATTGCAGCAGCCGTAGGGGTAAAGCCCCCAAATGCATTTTTTTTTGTTTCCCCGCGACGACGCCTTGGCCAGAAAGGGGGTAGAGTTCTGCCGGCAGGAGACGCCATACAATTTAGACACCAGCGTAATATGCATGAAGCACTTTACGG